GATCATAGCACGTGCCTAAAGGATTTACTGCGAGTGATTTAATTCTAATAAAGCATTTATCTGATTAAACGTCTATCCCACGATGAATCGTCTCGAGTCTTCCTAATTTCAAAGAGCTGTTATTTATGACATTTCTATTTCTTACATAATCTGATAAATTCTTGAATATATCTAATATCTTTGATCAGCTTCAAAGCAACTATGAGGATGATGTTGAGATATTTAATCTGTAATCATAAATCATTCAAACAAAGTTTTTATTTTTATGTTTAAACCATATAATGATTTTGATTTGTTGTAAAATTGTTTCAACTTAAGTCTTGAAGATGTTTTGAAGATTGATTAATCACCGAACAAGCAACATTTTATAGCAGGATTGTATTAGACGACCTACCCTTTTACACTTGATTTCGCCATTCATAATTTTGAGTCGGCAAATGTCTCTTAATTTCTCATTTGCAGGTACAATGACTCAAGCATTTCTAAACACGTGTACGTCCGTCTTAAAGAAAGGTTTTTTTTCACACTAATAGCTTATGTTTTAAAGTGATGTAATGTATGGAGCAAAAAAGCCAACATTTTGTATAAAACATTCAAAGTACATTTTGTTTGTTTTGGGTTTTACGTCACATCGACACAGTATAGGTCATATCGCGACGTTCCAGCTTTTACTGGTGGAGGAAGACCTCAGGTGCCCTTCCGTGCATTAGTTCAGGCACGAACGGGCACCTGAGTAGAACCACCGACGTTCCGTAAGCTATGGGACAAATATTATTTCAAAGTTTAAATTTATTTGTCCTATCATTTGTGTGTCTTCAGGAAATTCGAGACGCTATGAAAATGCCACGTGGTTACATTTTGTATTAGAACGTGACATAGCTTTGATTGATTTTGTTTGATAAAGTAAATACCAGCCGAAATTTTCTTAAGTAGTTACATAATGAACATTTTCATATCAATCAATCAATCTTATACTTGTAGCAAATCTTACTCATGTTACAAGTAATATGATTATACGCTATATGGTGCGAAACATTTACTTTTCATAATTTTAAAAGTTTGCACAATTAGTAATATCTTTATTATTTCAATTAATTGATAAGAACGATCAGATCACTTCAGCACACAATTCATTTATCGGTAACGCCAACCAAACAATTATGACTATACAGGTGTGTTACTCTTTTAATTTTATTATAAAACTAATATCCTGCGGCATGTTAGAAATAAGAGATTATTAATACTTATGCATATATAACTACAATTTTGACCATGAAGTCTCTGCAATAAAAACCTAATATTTTTGAAATATGTTAAAAAATAAATTCAATACGTTTTAGGTTTAGAACTTGATTAAACCACATAATTTCAATTTCCAATTGTTTCATTGTTCATATTTAGGTTGGGCTACAACATTTACTTTACACAAGAGTAGTTTGTTTCGAACTCTAAATAACTAACAAAATTTCCTTGCCTATAAGATTATTATTATTATTATTGTTGTTATTATTATTATTATTATTATTATAAGGACTTTAAATTTGAGTGATTTTATTGGTATACGAATGATTGTGAACACTTAAAGATATATAAAGACAATAACCGAATACTACGCTGTATTATTGAAGTGTTTTGTGTGTGAGGCAGCCGTGAAGGTCACAAGTGTCGTGTAATTGATTAACACAAATTGAATGATGACATAGATACCATAGTTACGAACTGTTCATTAGCTAATTATGAAATGATGCAATTATGCGTATCAAAAATACAGAATTATAGATAATCATCTGCAGGAAACTAATGAACCAATATTCCTATTGGATCTATTACATCGGATAGTTCAGTTGTAACATAGAGTAGAAAATATATGATTTTGCTTTTTTCTGATCTAAAAAAGAGATTCCTTTCCAATATGATGCAGATGAATGTAATCAGGCTATTAAAAATTCACTCTGTCGTACTTTTAAATTGTATTCGAAACATCATTGAAAAAGTATTGTTTTTTTGTTGTATAAAAGACCAAAAAAACATAACATTTCACATAAAAAATATTGCTGGTAAGATTTTATAAACATATTCTAAAACGTGTATATTAGTAAAATAAACAGTGAGTTCATGTACAATGTAGGATTCTTTTTTTTAAGTTTCATGTTTAATTTTCAACCTAAATCAAGCATAAATTTTATTTAAATTGTGCCAGATATAAAATTGACACACAATGTGTTCAAGTAAATTGGCATTAGCACGCATTCTTTCCTGGAGGTTCCAAATTATTTTGACATGGGAAAATATAAAGTAGTTCCGTAATTATGTGGTAAGCATTCCATGGCCTGCATATATTGTGCATCTGGGGGAAAGTAGTTAACAGGTTTCATAATATTTTGTGTACCTATACATATGTTGCAAAACTAAAAATATAATACTGAATATAAAATGACTTAAATAATACAAAATATATATCACTATAATAATACGTATATATTTGTCATTCATTTTTAGTATATGACATATATGTATGTTTAAATCCCTAACGTTATAGAAATTAATCTATATATGCTATATATGATATTTAAAAAATAAACAACACAAAATAATAACAATACAAAAACAAACAAACAACAACAAAAATATACACACACACATTAAAAAATTACTCTCGTAGAAATATTTTATAACACTTTTGTAAATATTTTTATATTACTTATTCGTAACGTAGATGTATGTGCACAATATCCTGTAGTTCACAATTTTACTATTTATATTTTAAATAAATGTCTTTTTGTTAAACAAAATGATTATTTATGTTTATTTTTATTTTTATTTTTTTATTTTTATTTTTTTTTTGTAAAAAATGCAGGAATTTATCATACTGTCATTTTTATCCGAAAGGATAACATTGTTTTAGCACTCAGATAAAAGTTTTCGGTTGCTTTTTAAATAAGTTTTGTCTTTTGACTTTTGCCTGTTACATGTATATGCATGTTGTAAAATGTCTAATCCTCCCATTAATTTTATTCACGTTTAGGACACACGCATTCTTTTACTTGGGGACTTCTGCCACTTTTTATAGAATGGCACGGCATTGGCACATTGGAGGGTTTATGAGCACTACAATATGATCGAATTTGTTGATGTTTCTAAATACTTGCTTGTAGGCGTGAACCGTAGCTTGCACTTCCGTTCATGAACGGGCTCAATCAAACCAAGCATGCACTATTTTTTATTTAACTTTTTCAGCGTTCTTAAGGAATACCATTTTTTTTATTTTGCAATGGGAACTGATTTACGTGACAAGAATGTTACTACAAAGCAAACTGTGTTCCTAAATTGAATTATAATTGATTAAAATTAATGCAAGCAAACGCGTTCGTGATAAGACCCAATTAAAGCAAGCCTGCAATGTAGTCTTTACAACTAAGTTTTCATTGTTGTTGAGAAATCTCCTTTTGTCAAGATTTTCATGTTCACAACAGCAGGTGTCAAGTGGTGAGTTTGACATTAAAATTTGCACCGTATTTCATTTAAGTTTTGCTACATTTCTTCAATTCAGATATTTTATTGTGTTGAAAATTGAATACTGCTTAAACCGGTGATAGGTGGCATAAGAAATGTTTCAATTTTCATTATCTATCATGAAAGTCTCAATCAAACGGAGTCTGCAACTTTCTTTGTTTTCTTCTCTTTCGCGAGATCACCCATATTCCAGATTTGATTGAAACAACCCTTTTTAATTGGTCGCCCTTGTGTTCTCTCCTGTTTTCAGTTCGGTGCCTTCTGGGTGCCCTGCTGGTGTGGGTATATTGTGTCGGCGTCTGCCTTCTGTGAACGTCGCTTTGCCTTGTTGATCTTTGCTTGCATTTTTTTTATAAAGTAACTGATTTCATTTCAAGCTTACCTTATATTATATGAATGGAATCACAACTTTTCAATTATCCCGTCAAGCAGTTAAAATTACAACAATTACATTTTTTCAAAAGTTATTTTATTCATATAAATGAATAATCAAGTATGTGTGTTACTGGTCTGAAAAATGTAGTACGTTTATCTTCTTAGACTAAATTCCTATCACTAAATAAATTATAACAAAATCTGAAGGTTCAAAGTCTCGATCTTACTATATAGTTGCATTTATGTTCCATTAAAATTATGGTACACAGAGGGACATTTTTTTTTTTAGCAAAATTGTTTATTTCTTATGGTTTTATTGTTAATTTAAAGATAAATTCAGTTATTTATTTCCTGTCTATTTCAAGTTCAAAATACAGGTATGCGAATGTTTCTAAATTTAAAAATTCACCATCATGTTTATGTGTTAAATACTTCTTAAGCCGATGCCAGCGGGCGTGAACAGTAGTTTGCACTTTCCAGTACTGTCCACGAACAGGCTCAATGAAACCGAGCCTGCAGCATTTTCAATTTTGCTGTTCATGACCTTCTTTAGGAATTCTAAATCTATCTCTTATAGGATGGGAATTACATTATAACGCAAACATTGTCTGATTTTCCATGCTAAAACTAAAAGTTTAAATAATGATATTTGGCAAAAAAGATGCGTTAAATTGTAGCAAGTTCTCAAGACATTCATGAATGAAATGCAGAAATCTACAAATAGTTCTAAACATTACCCTTTCACTGTGTTTACATTATTAATTAACCAGCTGAATGCATTTTTTACAGCATCAACATACATCAATTAAATAATCATGTGATTGTTCTTTTGTCTCATTAAAGCGGCACGTTTTACGTGTAAAATTAATCCAAGATGTTGATAAGATCTTCTGCTGCAGAAAACGTGACCGTGTTTTAAATCTTGCATGATAATGTTTTGTAAAATAATTCTGATGAACCTAATGTCTCTTATCGATATATATTAAAATGTAGTACCTTTTGGAAGGTTGCTTTATATGCTGTTTTAGTGAAATATTACCAACCGCGAACATGGTATTATACTTTATAAATGAGCGAAGCGTACACAGATTAATTCCTTTTTATATTTGCAGGACTTTGTCGTGGTAGTCCACTTGAACGGGTCATTTATCGGACGTTTATATTAAAGGTAAGACAAAATTATTTAGTTACATAATGGAAAAAAAACCTAATTATTTTAATTCTTTTAAGTAGTATTCCTTAATAAAAACATTGAGACCAAGGATAGAAATCGAGCTTTGATTGTTATCTTTGTCATTTTTATTGCCACCCACAAAAATATTAATGTGTAAAAGAGTAATTTTAGAATGAAGGGTGTTCTGTAAGTTTTGTTCCAAATTTTAATTGTTGTCTTAATGCAAGAGTTTCACAATGAAACCATTATAATGATGAAGGATGATGTGAAGATTGATTAAAATACAGCCTGGATAACTATGACTCTGAGGTGGTCTTCTTTTGCCAATAAAATCTGGCAACTCGCTAATACAAAATATAACTTATCGAACATCGACCATCAGTTGGAATTTGTATAAATAACACACCAAAAATCAAAGAGTGTTTATTGTTTACATATTTTTTATATTTTCTATATTTTCTTTCGAATTGCATATGATATATTTCTGAACCAAATGCAAATCCACAGGTGTTTTCTTCAGATACTTTTGAAACTGTCTGTGAATGTTTTGTGTAAGCTCCCAATTTGGAGTTCGTTTTGACTACAAGATTCATAAATAAATGCAATGAAAGGAATATCAATTTCATCCAGCAGGAAAGATAAACGGTTATTTGTTTATAAATTTTCGTAACCAAGAAAATATTATGTCATATTACTGTCGATATCATAGCCGTTTAGCACCGTATCATAAAATATTATATAATCTGTCCAGGAGATTATATTCGAATCATTGACATAAATGTAAGACTGCTATCGCATGAGAAGATTTTGATACCAGACACCACAAGAATCTACTGCGAATGACTTGATTCTAATAGAGCCTTTACCTGGAATCACATTCTTTTGACTTTTATTTGTTTCGCTCAATGCAGAACTAAAGCAACCATAGTTTATGGCATTTTTATTACTTACATCAAACATTATCTGATGTTTATACTGAAAGAAATGTGCCTGTTGTTGTCGGCCTCTATCGTTGAAACATAGGATTTCTACTGATTATATGATTACTACATTTATCGTTGTTCAAGTAATTTTTTTTACAAATGATTATAAAGCTAAAAATGATTTTGTATATCAATATTATTTAACAAATTTTGGTTTTCAAAAGAAGCATGATGTATGTTTACAGAATTTTTGCTAATGATAAATGTAGTACTTACATGATAAAAATTTTATTATGCTTTAATTAACCAATTGCAAACACATAACAAATAAAATATCCCTTATCATTTCTTTTATGAAAAGAAGAATGCAGTATGTCAAAATTTGGTATAGATGTAATTCGCAAGACAATGCATTATCTAAAAAAAACATAAATGAATATTTACTTTGCAAATATATGAGCATGTTTCATACGGCCAAAAAAATGGGTTCCACCAGGAACAACACCAAATTTAAGGTAGAACATTCTGGTGAAATAAATTCAGTGAAGTCAAATGTACTAGACCGTTGCAGAAGTAAAAATACTTCTAATACCCCAAACCACCGAAGCGGTATTACATATCCATATATCTTATACATCACGATTTACATAATATATGATAGAGTCGTGCAACGCTTATTTGATAGAGCAATAAACTTCTTACTTTCAAATAAAGTGTATTATAGTAACAAACAATTTAATGGTTTCAAGTGAACTTTATTGGAACTCTTGTGTAATATTTCTGCGCAACACTCTAAAAATATAGTCCTTTGATTATTTTATTAACTATATTTCTTCAACCCGAAATGATCATTTCGGTATCTACGAAAAATAGAACAAGGAAAATGATATAACTGATAAATGTAGGTGATAAATTTTATTAGTATTTGAGCTAATGCCATAGGATTGCTAAAGGAGGCTTAATAGAAACAAATGAATCGGTAATGTATTTGTAACTTCAAGTTGAATCTGACTACACACATTTACTTTATTGAACAAAATCCAAGAATATGAAGGAATTATAAAGTATGATATTAGCATTATTGGTTTTATAACACTGGTACTTATATTGTATAATTAGATTATTAAACATTTGCATTTATATTGTATAATTAAATTATTGAACGTTTGCATTCTGAAATATGACCATGTTTTATTTACATTAATGTTACTTTGTTATTTATTCTTTGAAATATTCATTTTAGTTTTTGAAGTACAAATGTATATTTTGACAGAAAGGCGTAGATATGAATAATTTATATCAACTGATAGATTATTTAACAATATACTTGCACTCTTTCCACTCCGCTAATGCAATCATGTTCTTGAATCCCCAATGTTATTTTCTACATGCAAATATAAAACGAAGATACTACATGTATGTTACGATAATAAATCAAGTTGTAGCGGGATCCAAAACAAAAGGAATAGACCCTTCTTAATATTACCTCATACATATTCATAGATTTTTCAGAACGAGGCTAACAGGGCAAGCTCCAGTGTCTGCTCTATGTAAACATATCACAAATATATGGCCGACAGATTTAAAGATCTTGATATAGTACTAATAGTACTACATACTTGTTGAATGTTATATTTAACATTACAAAAATCTCTTCTGGAGATAAATGGTTTATTTTACGCTATATACAGTGAAGGATATGTACATGTATCCAAGACCTGAAAAGTGAATTAATGTTTATGATAATTCCAATTAATTCCTAATATTCCGTGACAAGTATAAATATCAGGTAAACTCTTTGCAACTTATACAGACATTATCTGTGTTATCAGTATTTTATTGCTAAACTTAACACATGTTGGTCAAGAATGTATAAGGCAATTAACTGATAATAGATGTAAACAGTTGGATGCTGACTTCTGTACCATATTTCCCCTAAATTTTGCCATTGAAATAAAAAAAAAATAAATAAAAAAAACCAATAAGTTTTATTCATTTTGTATTTGAAAATCAAAAATGCTGGATGACTGTCTAGTAGCTGGTTAACTTTACTGACAGTCTTACCAAATCAAAATAACAATTTTGTTTAGACATGACACCACACCCCCGTCTTATACATTTCAATGGATTTTCAGTATCTTAACACATGATGTTGTTTACAGCATTGGAAACATACATTTCATGCTAAGTAAAGGATGTAAAACTTATATATTATCAACTGTTTTAGCTAATTACAGCATTAAATACTTAGTATTTAACAAATTGCAATCATTTAATTGCAAATAATCAGTCAAATCTGAGGTATCATTAGCTTATTGCACTTGTCCAGTTGGTTCGAGATGATAATGTGGTCTTATTGTTGAACCCTGTACTAGCTGATATATAACAAATCATTGGGGTACACAGCACTTCCAGAAGATGTTGCCTGGATTTAACAACCCCAGACATTCCATTTACTTAGGGGACTAAACATTTGCAGAATACATGTGCAGGACCTTAATAAGTTAATTGCAGTCGGAGGGTATTAGGAAAGACAGCATCTAGCTTCAGCACTTCTTTTAGCATTCCAAGAAATATTCTCTCAACAGTATATAATGCAATAAGAGGACAAAATATTGAATGTTATTACCGTGTTGACCATATTCCCTACAGCTGTACCATATATGTAACAAAGCACAATGTTAAAATCAAAGTAATTTAATGTTAAAACAAAGTAATGCGATGATTTCTTTTTAATTATTTTATTTGAATTAAGACAAAAAAGACTAAAAACAAATGGTCCTTTAAAATATGCTAAAAACATCTTGTCAGCTTGCAACTATCAGTCAAGCTGTTTGTTTTGCTTGCTTATAATAAAAGCCTCTTATGTTTTTGCTGATGTTTTAAACATTGAAAACTGTAATGAATATACATATGTTGAAAATCCAAAATAAACAGATATGCAACTTTTATCATTTAAAAATTTTTTGTATATCAAAAGTTCAATATCACATTTTATTTTCTTCTCAGTTTTCTGTAATTCTTCCTTTGAACTGTTTGATAGTTTCTTTTTCATCTCTCCTGCAACTGCCCATGAAGAGATATTACAACTTAAGGCGATTCAAATACCAGTTGTCAATTTCTGTTCATCACTGTTACCAATGGAATTCCTGAAAAATATATTTACATTTTATTATGAAAGTGGTAACAAGAATTATGACATTTCTAGAATATATCAATTTATATTGTAATTGCATTTATAGTATTTTTTACTGTAGCTGCAACTTTATTTATGTGAAAAATGAAAAATTAAGTCTTGTGATCTACCTTTCATCTGGCAAAAAATCTTCTTATGTCCATCTTTACTGGTCTGTTCATTACTTCTCCATTTGAACCAAGAGGGTACATCTATTCTCTTCAGACATATATGAATTTGTGTCCATGATCGTTAATCTTATTGTGTGAAATGCTTCAAAACAAAGCAATAGTATCTTGTCATATATTTGATCTGAAATGGTAAACAAAATAACTGTTGTTGTTTTTTAGTATTAAAAACGGTACTGATTTAGATTAATCATAAGTGTGATATTAAAATGAAATTAAGAACAAAACATTTTATTATGTTAATAATTAAATGAAAACATTTAAAACAATGAGAAATCAGATTAATTAATGTAAGTAGTAATACATCTAAAGTAGCTTTAGTTTAAAAAAAAGAAAAGAACAATGAAATTTTACCTCGAAATGTTCTCGTTCATCCCATCTTATTTCCACAATCCCTTCCTTTATTTAACTCACATCCTTGCGTATTTTATGAAAATTAACTTATAATCATATTTATAATTGGAATAACAGAGTGGAACACAACAATAAAAATTATATTTTCCCCGGTAAGTTTAACACACTTGGGCTTATCAGGTCAGACATTACTTGTTTACATTCATGCCCTGTTAGCCTCTCTCTGGTGATGGAATGTAAAGTATGCATATAATTTGAGAAAGGCCTATGATATATATCTTTAAGTTGCATTCTTAAATACCCTTTACAACTACCATTAAATAATATAATATTTCATTCACTTTGATATGCTAT